CCTGATATAGCACTCACTACCTGCAGTACGTAAGGCACGATAGTATAAACTCAGTTACAATTGATTAAACTATGAGTGTATTTTAGAAGATAAAGTGCTTGTTAATAGTGTGGTTTAGAAAAATGGTAACAGAAAACACGAAAAAGTATTTACAGTCAAACTTGATATAGCACTCACTACCTGCAGTACGTAAGGCACGATAGTATAAACTCAGTTACAATTGGTTAAACTATGAGTGTATTTTAGAAGATAAAGTGCTTGTTATTAGCTTTGGTTTCAAGGAAATGGTAACAGAAAACTCCAAAAAGTATTTACAGTCAAACCTGATATAGCACTCACCACCTGCAGTACGTAAGGCACGATAGTATAATATCAGTTACAATTGATTAAACTATGAGTGTATTTTAGAAGATAAAGTGCTTGTTAATAGTGTGGTTTAGGGAAATGGTAACAGAAAACTCCAAAAAGTATGTACAGTCAAACCTGATATAGCACTCACCACCTGCAGTACGTAAGGCACGATAGTATAATATCAGTTACAATTGATTAAACTATGAGTGTATTTTAGAAGATAAAGTGCTTGTTAATAGTGTGGTTTAGGGAAATGGTAACAGAAAACTCCAAAAAGTATGTACAGTCAAACCTGATATAGCACTCACCACCTGCAGTACGTAAGGCACGATAGTATAATATCAGTTACAATTGATTAAACTATGCTTCTATTTTAGAAGATAAAGTGCTTGTTAATAGTGTGGTTTAAAGAAATGTTAACAGAAAACTCCAAAAAGTACGTACAGTCAAACTTGATATAGCACTCACTACCTGCAGTACGTAAGGCACGATAGTATAATATCAGTTACAATTGATTAAACTATGCTTCTATTTTAGAAGATAAAGTGCTTGTTAATAGTGTGGTTTAAAGAAATGTTAACAGAAAACTCCAAAAAGTACGTACAGTCAAACTTGATATAGCACTCACTACCTGCAGTACGTAAGGCACGATAGTATAAACTCAGTTACAATTGGTTAAACTATGAGTGTATTTTAGAAGATAAAGTGCTTGTTAATAGTGTGGTTTAGGGAAATGGTAACAGAAAACTTCAAAAAGTATTTACAGTCAAACCTGATATAGCACTCACCACCTGCAGTACGTAAGGCACGATAGTATAAATTGAGTTACAATAGGTTAAACAGTGCTTGTATTTTAGAAGATAAAGTGCTTGTTAATAGTGTGGTTTAGGGAAATGTTAACAGAAAACTCCAAAAAGTATGTACAGTCAAACCTGATATAGCACTCACTACCTGCAGTACGTAAGGCACGATAGTATAAACTCAGTTACAATTGGTTAAACTATGAGTGTATTTTAGAAGATAAAGTGCTTGTTAATAGTGTGGTTTAGGGAAATAGTAACAGAAAACTCCAAAAAGTATGTACAGTCAAACCTGATATGGCACTCACCACCTGCAGTACGTAAGGCACGATAGTATAAATTGAGTTACAATAGGTTAAACAGTGCTTGTATTTTAGAAGATAAAGTGCTTGTTGTTGCATTGGTTTCAAGGGAAATGGTAACAGAAAACTTCAAAAAGTATTTACAGTCAAACTTGATATAGCACTCACTACCTGCAGTACGTAAGGCACGATAGTATAAACTCAGTTACAATTGGTTAAACTATGAGTGTATTTTAGAAGATAAAGTGCTTGTTAATAGCGTGGTTTAGGGAAATGGTAACAGAAAACACGAAAAAGTATTTACAGTCAAACCTGATATAGCACTCACTACCTGCAGTACGTAAGGCACGATAGTATAATATCAGTTACAATTGATTAAACTATGCTTCTATTTTAGAAGATAAAGTGCTTGTTAATAGTGTGGTTTAGGGAAATGTTAACAGAAAACTCCAAAAAGTATTTACAGTCAAACCTGATATAGCACTCACTACCTGCAGTACGTAAGGCACGATAGTATAAACTCAGTTACAATTGGTTAAACTATGAGTGTATTTTAGAAGATAAAGTGCTTGTTAATAGTGTGGTTTAGGGAAATGGTAACAGAAAACACGAAAAAGTATGTACAGTCAAACCTGATATAGCACTCACTACCTGCAGTACGTGAGGCACGATAGTACAAACTCAGTTACAATTGGTTAAACTATGCTTCTATTTTAGAAGATAAAGTGCTCGTTAATAGTGTGGTTTAGGGAAATGGTAACAGAAAACTAGAAAAAGTATTTACAGTCAAACCTGATATAGCACTCACTACCTGCAGTACGTAAGGCACGATAGTATAAACTCAGTTACAATTGATTAAACTATGAGTGTATTTTAGAAGATAAAGTGCTTGTTATTGCTTTGGTTCAAGGAAATGGTAGCAGAAAACTCCAAAAAGTATTTACAGTCAAACCTGATATAGCACTCACCACCTGCAGTACGTAAGGCACGATAGTATAATATCAGTTACAATTGATTAAACTATGCTTCTATTTTAGAAGATAAAGTGCTTGTTAATAGTGTGGTTTAGGGAAATGGTAACAGAAAACACGAAAAAGTATGTACAGTCAAACCTGATATAGCACTCACTACCTGCAGTACGTAAGGCACGATAGTATAAACTCAGTTACAATTGATTAAACTATGAGTGTATTTTAGAAGATAAAGTGCTTGTTAATAGTGTGGTTTAGAAAAATGGTAACAGAAAACACGAAAAAGTATTTACAGTCAAACTTGATATAGCACTCACTACCTGCAGTACGTAAGGCACGATAGTATAATATCAGTTACAATTGGTTAAACTATGAGTGTATTTTAGAAGATAAAGTGCTTGTTATTGCTTTGGTTCAAGGAAATGGTAACAGAAAACTCCAAAAAGTATTTACAGTCAAACCTGATATAGCACTCACCACCTGCAGTACGTAAGGCACGATAGTATAATATCAGTTACAATTGATTAAACTATGAGTGTATTTTAGAAGATAAAGTGCTTGTTAATAGTGTGGTTTAGGGAAATGGTAACAGAAAACTCCAAAAAGTATGTACAGTCAAACCTGATATAGCACTCACCACCTGCAGTACGTAAGGCACGATAGTATAATATCAGTTACAATTGATTAAACTATGCTTCTATTTTAGAAGATAAAGTGCTTGTTAATAGTGTGGTTTAGGGAAATGGTAACAGAAAACTCCAAAAAGTATGTACAGTCAAACCTGATATGGCACTCACCACCTGCAGTACGTAAGGCACGATAGTATAAATTCAGTTACAATTGGTTAAACTATGAGTGTATTTTAGAAGATAAAGTGCTTGTTATTGCTTTGGTTTAAGGAAATGGTAACAGAAAATATAGCACCTACTACCTGCAGTACGTAAGGCACGATAGTATAAATTCAGTTACAATAGGTTAAACAGTGCTTGTATTTTAGAAGATAAAGTGCTTGTTATTGCTTTGGTTCAAGGAAATGGTAACAGAAAACTCCAAAAAGTATTTACAGTCAAACCTGATATAGCACTCACTACCTGCAGTACGTGAGGCACGATAGTAGTATAAATTGAGTTAAAATTGGTTGAACCGTGCTTGTATTTAAGACAAAGTGCTTGTTAATGGTGTGGTTTGGAGAAATGTTAACAGAACTAACATAAGAAATACAGTATTGTGGTCGTACTACACGATAGTGAAGACGCCATGTCTCTACAACACGGATTTGCTTCTCACGGACAATATATTAAAACAAAATGTCCCTCAATATTTTAATCAAAATCCTATGTTTGGCCAGCAAAATCACATAAATGTTTTGCCATAACATAATCCGATGTATCTTCCACCACCTCAAGTTATTCGTGTGGGTTGTGGTAATAATTCTTTGCCAAGGATCGACGAGATCAAGACATTTTCTGGTTTGGCAGAAGATTTTTCCTGCTTTTTTGGGACTATTTTGAAGTCAGAGTGCACAATATTGATGCCCTATCACTGAAAAATAGGTCAGACTTCAAGCAGCATTGAAGGATGGAACTGCCTACAGTTTAGTTGTGAACAGAAGATTGACAATCTCTGAGTATGATAGTGTTATTAGATGTTTACATGCTCACCATAATTCATCTACTATAATATCGCCTTTGATGAAAAAATTGAATATTTTATCACCACCAAAGAGCAAAGCTGATTCAATCAGAGAATATGCTAATAATTTGGTATCAATTAGCTCTCAGTTGTCGTATTACAAGACTACAATTTCTAGTTTTATGGTAAATAACATCCTGGGTTCTTTCTCTAGAACCTTATGTGAAATGGCCTGAATTCGGGTTATTTTTAATCAGAAGTCAACGACAGATGTCCAGGCTATTATCGAAGCGCTTTACAGTGTTGCGCTGGATTATCCTCAACAAGACATGTCTGATTCAGGTCAAAATTCAAGTTTTAATAGTGTTAAGAATGTTAATTTTCGTCAAGATACGTGTAAAAAAAATTCATAACGTCTTTAAAAATAGTTTCATAATAACAGTAAAATTCTTAAAAAGATTAATCATTCCAAGAGGGGTGTGATTTTGGTCGTCGTATAACAACATACTCGATGTTACAGTAGATAATGGTTACAAAATAGTATAATAAAACAGAGTAGTTATACAAAGTTTAGAAAAAGAAAGACGAGTTGGTAGTCTTAACAGTTGAGAAAAATCATAATGACTTCAAAGATAGTGTCATCATGACAGTAAAATATAAAAAATTAAAAATTTCAACTTTAAATACAAATAATTAAAAAAATTTTTGCGTTAGAGATGTTTAAATTTTAAGAATTTACAAAATAATTTCATAAACAAGTCATAAAGAATAGAAAAAGATGTCATTATGACCTGATATCTGGACATTTGAGAGAAATGTTTGTTAAGCAAAGCTAAAATACAAAAATGTGCCCGGATATAAAACCAATGAATCAAAATGATTACTATGTAATACATATTTTCATCCGTATTTTACAAAAAAAATCAACTTATCAACCCATAAGTCTAAATCAACACCTGATAGTCCCCTAAGTGTTTGTTGAACTGTGATATCTTCTGAAAATTCCCAACATCCAGAGCATCAAGATCTCGAGCGTACCAGTTCCAGAAGACGTGATCTTGCCATCTGAAGCCAGTATTCATTTCTGGAGTGTCGGTGATCGAAAAGAAGTCCAGTTTCTCGGTCATTTCCGTAAAGTTAAAGTTCATTCCACTGTTTTCTGGCGTTGGGACACTAAAATTAGAGTATTATCTAAATTAGAAAAGCTAAGAAAAGATAATTTTTTCACCTAAAATAACATCACTAATCTTAAACTTACTCATATTTCAAAAAGTTGATAAGTTCAGCAAAGATCTCGGTAACTCTCTTGTCCAACTGCCAATTCCTATCTTTCCTTGTCTCCAGAAGCCTTGGCTCCTTCTCGAACAGAAACACTTCATCTACACCATGAAAAGCTCCTTTCATATTATCATTCATATTATCAACAAAAACTATTCTTAAACTTACTGTCGGTCAAAAAGTTCTCGCTAACGTGATCAAACGAGTACATGTAGACAGGTACCTGTTTCGAATAGTAGTTGGCTAGTCGTGAAGCAGGAGCATCGTACCAGAAATGAGAGTACATCTACAAAATGTTAACAGTTTTTATCATTCTAGTGTAAATATTAGTCAATTTAATCTTTCATGAACTTATCTTTATAATTTCAAACTATATTTTTTCATGTTGAGATGAACCATGGTATTCCGCATTCTGTACAGTTACGTCAGTGGCGCATAATTAATATTAGTTAAGCAAGATTTCAAGAAGAAGTCAAATGCTAAACAACTATGAGAGGAGTTATCTCGTTGTCCCCTGATATCCATGTTGTTTCAGAAGCCAATCACCGCCCGGGAATCCCAATGTCCCCGACTACCTATTAGTATATAAACCCGGCATCTCGACACATCCGGGACGTCCTCAGTTTTGATATCAATCCCAGACCTTTCCTTTGGATCCTATTTTAGCATCAGCGCCGATTTTTGTATTGTATATTTCGCTCGTATATTAGGTACTTATTCTAGAAACCCCAGTTAACCTCCCCCATTGCCCTTGTATCTTTACTAGGATACAAGATCCAGTAAATCGACCCCTTTATTGTTAATTATATTACATTTACATGATCTTCCAATAAAAGAAATTTATGAAGATTTTCGCACCAACCTTCACAAAAAGTTGAATTTTGAAATTTTTATTCTCTTTTAATTTTTTTGAAACAAACTCGCATTCCAAACATTCGGAACTAGGACCTCGGCTGTAATCTACAACTGGGACGACACAAAAAACTCCGACAACGCCTACAGCTCCTACTACACCGACTACTTCGACTAGTAACACCACAAATATGGCGGTAAAGAAGTCTTTAGTATTTTTCTTCTTTTAAAACACGTTTTTTGTAAGACTCAAGCCAGCTCAGACTACCCAGCGTACATAAAAAAACTTTTTTGTTTTATCTTGCAATAATGACTTGTCTAACAGTGCTAATTAACATGCACTAAATTTTTTTCTTTAAGATTACCGTAACCCGTCATACAGTAGTTTGACCTCAAACATCTTCAGGAATCAAGTGAGCTAGAGACACGGGGCCTTCACCATAATGTAGCCTGTGCGAAATACTGAATATTTGTAATTTACACCGAGTTTCGAAAACATCTGCAAGTATTTTTAAAATTTGGTTTTTTGTGCAAAATTACAGTAATCCGAAATTTTCGAAAAAAATTGCATTTATTTAACCCAGTTTTATTTTTAATTATTAAACTGCAGTCTTTTGCGGTCCCAACGCACCTAAAATCGTCAAAATCGGGTGTAACTGCCTAAGGTAAAATTTCATTTGAAAATTTTCATTTTTTCCAAAAAATTTTAAAAATTTTTTAAAATTAAAAGTATGGTTTTAAAACTTTATTATATACATTTGTAAACAAGTTAATACTAAATTTTACATTTTTTAATTAAAAATTTTTAGTTTATATAACAATATGTTTAAAAATAAAAATTTAAAAAAATACCCCATGTCTCCAGCTCAATTCATTCCTGAGATACGAAATTCGAGGTCAAGCTACAGTATGACGGATTACGGTAATTTTGGAAAAAAAATTTAGTGCATGTTAATTAGCACTGTTAGACAAGTCATTAACGCAAGTTTAAAAAAAAATTTTTTTTGATTTACACAGGGTCGCTCGACTCTTATAAAAAATCTGTTTTAATAGCGCATTCAAATAGTTTGGACTAACTTTGGCCTCCGGCTGAATTAAGTTGCGTTGTATTTTTTTCAAAATACTTTCTGCCCTATGAAAGACCAAAAGTGCCTGCCCGGCCAAATAAAATATTCCAAAATAAACCAGCAGCGCCTTTATACTAATAAACAACATTTCAGCCAAATTTGGTAGTTTCTCCCAACCCGATAGTCATAATACTACCTTGTACTGATTGTACTATAGCTGAGTTCACCGTCAAGAACCAAACTGCCAACACAATTAACATGATGTTGGAATCAAACGAACCTTCAATAATACATGTAAACAATATTGATTCCTTCAGCATCAACTCGGAGGCTCAGAAAACTTTTGAACTTGAAGTAAAGCACGTGGGAAGTTTTCTAGAACATTTGCACGCTCAAATAACCATTTCGTACTACTACCAGACTAATACAAATGAATGGAAACACAATTTTCAGTACATACCAGTGATCTTTAAGTACGGTAAGTATATTATAACATGTTTTTTCTAACAAGGGAAGTGCCTCGCTTCATTCCGGAGATACGAATTGAGACTAGGCTCATTTGAAAGCCTGTTTGAATACAAATTTAACAAATTAGCGCCAAAAAGTGAGCTGCCGAATAAGCTCCTGAGGCAAGTTGGCGTTTGAAAACGATTGGGAGCGAGAAAAAAAACAAGGAGAACCGATGATTCGGTTGTTCAGTGGTTTGGTGTTGGGTTTAGGAGAGAAAGGATAAGGGTTCAATCCCTGCCAAGTCGTTTTGCTGTAACAGCTTCCAAAAAAATTTTTTTTGTTTTTTATACTGTATAGCACTGAATAGACCAGTTTTGATCATTTTAATATAAAAATTATGCAATTTAACAAATTATTAAACTTTAAAATTTTTTAGAAATTTTTCGAATTTATTGTGTAGACGCATCAATGGTGATTGGTTTGAAATATTTGAGACTGATGACATTCATCTCTTCCCTGATTATCAGCTATCTGACAATGACGCCGAAGCTGTTAAATTTTCTGAAGGCACGAAAAACAAGGTTACTTTTTCTGATGGTTCAGTTATTCAAGGTGATAGGTTGCTCAACTTTTTTTGAGAACTTACGTAAAATTTTAAAGTTTAATAATTTGTCAAATAGTTTAATTTTTTGTATTAATGATAAAACTATTCTATTCACTGCTATATAGTACAAAAAACAAAAAAAATTTTTGGAAGCTGTTAAAACAAAACGAATTGGCAGGAGTTGAACTCTTATCCTTTCACCCCTAAACCCAACACCTAACCACTGAAACAACGAATCATCAGTTCCCCTTGTTTTCTTTTTCGGTCCCAATCGTTTTCAATCGCAAAACGAAAAAATTCGGAAGCTAATTTTTTTGTTAAATTTGTATTCAAATAAGCTAGTTTCAATTCATATCTCCGGAATGAGGTGAGACACTTCCCTTGTAAGAATCTACACCGAATTTCAAACTACTTCGGTCATTTTTAAATTTTAACCCTTGACTACTGTATATGTAGTACAGTAATGTCAAAAATACACAATTTGAAAAAATGGTTACCGTACTTTGTTATACTGTAGCTTGCACCCCCTTTTTATACTTCAAAAACTAGCAATAGTAGAGCCGTATAAAAAAATGTTTATCTGGCTTAAATAAACATTTTTTATTATTATATTCAAGTGGTACCATTTCTTTTGGTACCTTAAAATATATTACTGTAGCAAAGCGTCGCTTTTTTAATTTTTATGGTACCAAATGAAATAGTACCATTTGACTATAATTATGAAAAATGCTTATTTAAGCCAGATAAACATGTATTTTAAACCCCCACGGCTTTAATATTGTTAGTTTTTGAGATATAAAAAAAAGAGGTCCAAGCTACAGTATGACAAAGTACGGTAACCATTTTTTTCAAAATGTGTATTTGTGAGATTACTGTAACAAATATATTCAAGTGTTAAAATTTAAAAAAGATCGAAGCGGTTTGAAATTTGGTGTAGCCACTGTGTTTGAGCTTTATAAAAAATGTGTATTTAAACTTGCAACGCTCAGTTTTGTAAGATTGTAACAAGGAGCAAAAAGCCACACTAACTCATCAAAACTTTAGCCACGAACGCCACGATAACCAAAAATAAAAAGAGGAAAAAGTCACGCGAGCGCAAGGAGACCAATTTAAAATTGAATCAGAGTACCGGTGCGATGAAAGGCCGTATAATCCACAACGCACCGAAATCCAAGGTAGTCAACAATTAATGTGTTTATGTTGGTTAGTGGACTATAAATAGCTTTGACCTAATTTGAGTAAACTATTTTTTACGCTTTTAGTACGTCGTTAATAACCTTGTTCAAATCGTACAATTAAATAGAAGTGAAGAAAACAATCAACTAACTTCTACCAGTACAAAAAAGAAACTTTGTGATATTTCGGAAGAACTTAAAACTAAACTAAAACAATATCAAATAAATTACCGAGAAGACTACGTACGTGTAATTTTTAATCATTTTATTTGCAGTTTTTTGTCATTTTTAACGTACTAAATTTCAAATTATTCTTATTTAGATGAAACCGCTAAACAATTTCGAATACCTTAAATACAGATTTAAATTAAAGTACAAACAAAATTGTCGAGAAGTACTAGAAGCTTTAAATTGTGACAAACTAACAAAACGCTATAAAAGGAAAAAAAATGGGTTGTACCATATCTTGGATGCAAAAGTAAACGAGAGCAACTTAACAGCCTATGATGTATACCTTGCCGAAGGATATATGTTCCACAAACAAGATTTTTGGCCAATGAAATCCCATAAATACCGATGCCACGTCGACTTACGAGATAACAAGAACCACAAATGATGACACTAAATTGCAAAGAATAATTCACAAGTACTCGACTCAGCACACATTAGATTGTTCTTTTATTTTAAAGAATAAACACTACTGCACTAAATTCTCGTTACAGTTGCCGTATTTTGTAAATAGCGTAGATTGAGAGAGTAGGTTAGAGTAGAGTATGGCAAAGAAAGAGAGGGGGTGGGGTAAGGTGAGGAAGGGCAGAGTAGGGTAAGGTAGAGAAACGTGAGGCGGAGTAGTGGGACGCAGAGTATGGCGGAGTAAAGTAAGGTGTGTGGGGCAGGTAGAGTAGGATGGGGTAAAGAAAGGTAGGATTGAATAGAGCAAGTGGGGTATAGTAAGGTGAAGTAGAGAAATTTGAGGCGGAGTAGTGTGGAGCAGATTATGGTGGAGTACAGTAAGTCGCGGAAAGCTAGGGTGGGGTGGGGCAGAAAAAGGTGAGGTGGAGTCGAGTGGAAAAGGATGGCGCTAGGACAAATGCGGTTTTTGGACATTTGCGGATTTTTCAAAGGCTTTTTTTTAGTTAACTTTTATTCTAAAAAGTTTTGTGTTTGAAAATATTTTCTTGAAATATTAAGGGGCGGGGTTCTGTAAGAGTCATTTTTTTCACAAAAAACAATAATTTATTAATTACGTAATAAATTATAAACAAAATAAGATCCACACAGACATGAAAACTAATAAATGGGTGTTAAAGCTTACATATATTAACATTAGTAACACTGAAAAAAGTTAAAAGATAAATTTAAAGATGAAAAAATGTGAGTTTATTGATCACTGCCGTCTTTTGGTTAACGTTATCACAAATTACACCATGGCTGAGATTGACTGGGGATATATCCAGTGTTACATCCAGTCCTAGCTTCTTGACTTAGAGACAGCTTTTTATAGTTGTAAGTTTCGAAGACAGAATCTAGAATTACAAAACTTTAATTATTTACAACTTTTTCATATCTCATTTATCTCTCCGTTAGCCTAGACTCGACCACAGTATTCAGCATTAGCTTGAAACGGCTTACCAACAACGTTTGATGTCAATGTTCTCTTAACTGAATCCGGAAATAGATATCTGGGAAAACTAAACCACCTGCAGTCCTCATCAAAACACTTTTGATGAGCCCATAACTGATCAAGGTATACAATCCACGTAATATTCTGACTTTTGTGTTCTCTTTTGATGTGGAAACAATATCTACAGTTGGCAAAATAGAGTTGCAGCCTTCTGGAGTTATACTCTTCAAAGTAAAGTAACTCCCATTTGCTGATTTGAATTTTTGGACAGTATTGAATCAGTATATTCTTGATGAAAGCGTCGATAACAGGAAAAGGAGAAGGTCCAGAAGCAGACGATACATTGCGATAAGTAGCTCCATTAACTGTTCTACTAACTGAAATTGATAAAATAATAAAGATACGAAAATCTGTTAAGTTTGTTTTAAATACAAAAAAACTTACGACTAAAACAGTTACTTTGCCATTCTCCAAGGTCCTTTAGGTCCAAAACATCATATTCTTCATAATCTTTAGGTATTATAAGAGAATCATAAAAGATTCTTGTAGCACGGGGATAAGAAATGCCTCTGCTTTCTAAAATATAAACTTATAAGCAATAATACTTACGGTAAAAGTTGCAATAATCTGCATACACCAGCTTCTCTTTCTTCCCACATTTTGAGCTAAATGCCAATCTGAAGTTTCTGTTCTTGGTATACACACCTGTATCACATAAAAACACTTCTTTGTCTTTGTTCCACAATATACACTTCTTCGCATTAGTCAATCTAGTACATAAGATATTTACAAACAGCTTGAAAGCTGTATTAGAAGGCAATAAGACTTTGTCCTTGAAGTGAATAATAATATGAGCCGAGAACTTGGTATCCGATGAAGAATCAAGGATCAAAAAATCAGTTTCATCTAAAGTAATATCCAACTTCTCTTTCAACAAATCACGCACAATCTGAATAAATTCCTTTACAAGTTTTTTAGAATCTGCATAAGGGTTAAATTCCTTGTAGTATTCAAGATCAAAGTAAGGTCGACAAGGGCGTCCTTCTTGGATCAACTCGTAGAAATGTCTGCCACACTTGATCAGCTTGTAACATCGCAAAAACTTTTCCAAATCAGTTGATAGAAACCTTCTCCGACCTAAACAAAGAAAAATGAATATTATAAAACACTTACCACCGGTTAGTTGAGGAGTTTCGTATGTGAAAACACGTGCAGATGGCTTTGCTTGTTGTCTGTTGAATGCATCTTGTTGTCTATAATATATAACAAAGTATTGTCTCAAACACTCCTCCAAAGAGGCCATCTACACCTCGTCTTCCGAGAGACAGACTAATCGACAAAAATCTGTTTTCGGAAAATTCAAAATTTTTCTTCATTTATTTTTTTCGCAGTGTGCATTTATCGTGGCGCAGGTAGAGAAACAAAATTTTGTTTTTGGAGATCAGAGAATTTCTTGTCGAGGATTCTCCACGAAATCGGCATGGAGTTGGTAGTCTTATATACGATTAAAACAGAAAATTGTATGTTATATGCATTTTGAATATAAACAACTTTATTTATTGACAAGAATCTGATATAAAATGTTAAAATAGATTATGTTAGACACGCCAAATAAAATGTTAGACGATATTGTTTTACATTTGTGTTGATAATGATTTTTAGGAGAAATGGAAATGTCTACGTTAGATTCCGAGCTCGTTCATCTGACGATGTGCGTCAAGCATCTGCGATCCCATGTCTTGTCGTCGTTTTCCATCCAACCAGTAAGTATTCATCTTTCCTTTGCCCTGAACAGTAATGTTGTCATTAGAAGTAGTGACAGTTACTGGTAGTATTTTAAATTAATTACTTTTTAAAAGATGTGACTGAAATGCCGTTTTTGAATAAATTTACCTTTATTTGAAATTCGCCCCTCAAGGAAGTTTCAAACTCTGGGTAATATTGATCAAGGCCTATTTTAAAGGCTTCGCTGATCTGAATCTTTCCAGGAGAGCCAGTAGATTCCATTCGAGACGCGGTGTTTACCTAAAATTCTTTTTTTATTATTAAAATGCAGGCTTTCTGCACTGTTTGTATATTATGTTATGTTACTTTTCGGAAATATGTTTTTTTACTATTTTTTGTCAAGGTATATTTCATCAAAACCCTTACAGTATCTCCGAACAAACAATATCTTGGTGCTGTTAGTCCAACTACTCCGGCTGCGACTTGTCCAGTGTGAAGCCCGATTCTGATGACCATTGTTTTGTCTTTTCTATGTGGAATGACGTAAGTCTTTAAGAATACCATGATTTCTAGGGAAACATCGCTCAAGTTCATCAAATGTCGTGTGCCATTCTCTTGTGGGATGCCGCTTACAACCATATATGCATCACCGATCGTCTCCACTTTGTAGGCTTTGTGTTTGGCTATGATATCGTCGAATCCAGTGTAGACAGTGTTCAGCATAGTAACCACTTCTAAGGGCGTGGAGTTGGAACATAGGGTAGTGAAGCCTACGATATCACTGAAGAAGACACTGGCCTGGCGGAACGTTTTGGGAAGAACGGCACGGCCGAGCTTTAATTCGTTTGAGACATAGCTAAAATATGGAGCGTTAACTAGTTTTATGTTAGGAAGTTGTAAAGCTGTCCTTCCTCCTTTAGATTTGTCGTATTTTTCAATTTTATTGTAAGTGTATTGAGGTATTCGTACTACGTTTTCTTACCTGGGTAAAAGTTGACTTAATAGCTTATCAGCCCTTTGATTAGCCTCTTCTAACATTCCCGTCCTCTCTTGCACTAGTTTCTCCAGATTGTTGGCGTACTGTTCCATCATCCTCATCATCTGGTCTACCAAACTTCCTTTTACTTTCAGATAATTCTCTGTGTTTAGTCTGACCCTTCTGACACTTGGTCGGATCTCAGGATTGTTGCTCCAACAATCTTGAAGTAATGACGCTATATCTGGATGCACTTTGCTCTTGTCTTGGATACTCGGCTTAAAACTTTTGGAGCCGTCTCTGACGTACTCGCACAGCTCGTTGATATTAGTGTTCTCGGGGAACGGTAAAGCACGGAATAGTATCTCGTACATGACCATTCCGAAGGCATATACATCACCAGCTTGAAGCCGGTTGGCGGTTTGTTTCTTCCAAGTTTGCTCCATTCCTCGACGTTTGTTAAATTCGGCCATTTGAAGCATCTCCGGGGCTCGGTAAAGGTCGTCTAAAGGTATATTTTGGTTTTTATAAGGTATTTTGGACACATTAGTAGTATGTGTATGGATTGTTTTACGTACTTGTTGCTTGAATTGCACCGCTCTTCTCTTCGTCCTCTTTAAGCTGCTCTTTAGTTATAGCTCCTTGTTTTTCCCATCTTTCGATGGGATTGGCCACACCGTAATCTGTCAATTTCACCATCCAATTACGGTCGATTAAGCAGGACCATGGCGTCAAAGAGCCATGGTAACCGATGACAGACAAGTGGAGGTATTCGAGACCCTATAAATAGGAGTTGTTTATGTTATGGCATGTATTTAAAGGCGTTTCAAGGAAGTATTTTGGTCTACAGTGTTCTGTTGTAAAAACGTCTTGTGACCATATATTGGTATTATCACATACGGAGTGATAACCTACCAAAGTGATATCTCTAACAAAAGCAGCGTGGAATTTCTCGTCCAATGAGACTTCCTCGTTGTAGATGACGTCCTGGACTGTGCCACGGGAGCAGAACTTCCACAGTACGATCATTTCTTCCTTTTCATTGAATGACATTCCTAGAAATGGGTTCAGATTGTCGTGGACCGCCAATTTAAGGTTCGTCAGAAGCTGTAGGTCTTCTCTGTTGAACTGTATTGGCCTTCTTTGTGGATATACGTGGAAGGAAGCATGGGTGTTGGTACCAATTATGGCATGATGCTTTGCGAACTTACTCATGTTACTGAGCTTTGTCTTGGAACTTCCGATCGACAGCTGAAAGTTTTATGATTTTCGCGATTTAAATGACAGCAATTTTTACGAAAAACAATGAAACTTTTGGCACATGACAGTTTAGGGTGATAGCAACATAAGAAATGAATTTACCATGGACTTCATCTCTTCTGTAGATACAATCCTCATTTCATCACGGAAGATACGCCATGAATTCTTTGACAACGAATTGTTTTCCCTAAATGAATAAGGGTCATCTAACGTAATGTATAGATAAAATGATTTTTTATTACAAAAGTATGCTCACATAACTCTGCAGGCCATGACCATGGTAAAGGTAACCACAATAACCAACAACGCTAATGCTCCAATGATAATTATCAACGTGTAATCGCATTTTTCGTTTCTGAATCCACATTCTGGTTCATCAGCTGGTACTCGACCGTTAATCGACGGCCAAAAACCGGTTGAAACGTCTTTTACTTGCTATAATGATAGTGTAGTTATAAAACAGTGAAAGAGATAACTATTTAACAAAAGTTTGCCATGAGTATTCAATTTATGAATCTTACCAGTTCCATACAGCCAGTTTTGGTTTTGAGTCCATCACATTGTGGGATGAACTTTGGGTTCATGTCTATCATCCTCAGCGGTATTTCTTGCTTTGCACTTACGAAAAAGGCTGAAGATAGGTTAATGTAGGGTTATTATTTTTTACAACCGGTATATAATCTTACTTATGGATGTTGGTAGACTTACCAGCATAAACAGCAGCACGTTCAGCAAGGTCATCCATGATTACTGTGCCTGAGGATATGCCTTCAGCGTTGACTAGACCCGGAAATGTCATTTTCCTCATGGTATTCCAGATGTATGTTCCATTAGTGATTACCTTCACATCGTTGGTCTCTTTTATTGCTTTCGTTGCACTTAAAGCATACAACTTCAAAGCATCGTACAGGTGAATGTAGCCGTAGATGTTGAGCTGAAAGTTAAGATTTTTATATAAGCTTTAACTATTGTTTTTACATTATTAGGATACAGTATTGCTTACCAAATTGAGTTCTTCAATATTGATTCCATTGGCTTCGACTCTTTCCTTGAACGGAGTCATTAGACCGTTATCAAAGCCGTTGACATCATCAATCTGAAATATGCCTTTGTAATGTCACTTTCGTATATTATAGTATCTAAGCATGATATGTCACAAGTACTATCAATTCTTTCTTGATTTTTTGAAAACTTACAATTATAGTGTTGTCAAACATGTCTTTTACATTCTGTAACGTTTGTCCTTCTAGTGTTATCCACGGTGACAAGTCTTTGGATTCAGCTTGTAGCCATGGCATGATCACAACGTATTCTGTAGTCTTCATATTGGTATCTCTGACTGCTTGCATGAACTCTTTGGTCATGTCTCTTGTCGATGAGAATACGCAAATTAGCACTGTAATGACACTCAATATTAAGACGATATATTGTTCTACATTACAAATGTATTATTTTATTCTAAAGTTTCTTTTTGTTTTCATGTCGTACCTCTAGTTGTGTGTTTAATTTCCTCCATGATCCCAGAAGCCACAATCTGTTTGGCCGTTGCACTTTCTTCCAGCATAAACTTTCGTAACACTTGTATGTTGTTATTGTGGAATACATTCTGAAAAGCGACTACTCTTTCTAACGCTGCTGTCCCACTGTTTGTCACGATTGCCACTTTCTTCCAATCATAGTGCTTTAACGTCGTAAATGTAGCCAATGCTAGAGAGTTAATGGTTCGTAAAGACACTCTGGCCATGGTTTTGTAGATGGTTTTGTCAGAGAAGGCTGTGTTTGAAGCCATGTAGCCAATTATGGGTATGTCCCAGAAGGCTGCCATCTTGCTTACTGCGTCCATTTCTGTAATTTGAAAATTTTGATTGCATATTAATGAAAGCATGCAGTGTTATATGAGATATACATCCTTAGCATTAAAAGTTATTACTTTTTTGTTTGTAGACATACAAAAACAATGTAAAACGTACCAGCTGCACAATATGGCCCTACAAAAACCTTGACATTTTGTTGATGATACATGTCAGCAGCGACTGCCACGCCTTCATAAGATTCCCCACAACCCGTTTGTGATAGGATCCTGAAACCATCTTTTACCACCAATCTGAACTTACTCTATGTTAAAGTCATCGTTCAGGATCCCTTCGTTCTTCAGTTCAGTCTTACACATGTCTAAGATGTCCTCAGCTTTTGGCATGACATTAATCGCTCCTATATGGCCTACTCTTACGGTAAACGCAGTAATTTGAGTATATGTTATAGACAGAAAAGTTATAAATAGAGTTAAAGTCGACATGGCTGTGAAGTGTCGCCCAGCCAGAATGAAAGTGTTGTACAAGCAATTTGGCAAATTAATGTTTTGAAGGGCCAAGACGGCTACAAGGCGATTATCACCGTAATCCGTTACAGCAATCACATTACGACGCTTTAAGATGGCTGTTTAAACGTAAATTGCTGTTGTTGGATGGCAGCTTAGGGAAGTATGTTGTTGTTTATGTATAAGTACTCGTATTACTACGAGAATCAGACAAATACGGAATTAGATGAGCTTTATGGTTGTGATAACTAGTTATTTTCATCTGAACATCTATTTTAATATGCTAATTTTTGAACTATGAATAACTTTTTAATTTGTGTGTTTTAAGGGCATACTATGCGTTTAATAATCTCCATATCATTGTAATGTAGAACAATAGATAAAAGGTCTTACAACAAAAATGACTGTTGGCCAAAACCAAATTCTTTAATGCCTAATATTCCAAATGAACACTACCAAAAATTCTGTTTACCTTTTGTGAACACAGAAGAAGCAGTTATAGACTGAAACAATAACAACTCATCAATTGAATCAGAATTGGACGATATCTTCGTTGAAACATTGATAGGAGCCCATCAAAGCTGGGACAATTCTATTGAATTTGAAATTAATAACAAGCAGGTACAGTAAACTTTATATTTTTTGACAGTTTTGCCTTTGCCAAAGCTAATCTAATGTATTTTTTATATATATATCACTTTCAAATAGGTATTTTCAGAAGTCACCACTACTAACAACAGTTTCTTTAGGCGATTTAAACGTTCTTGCAGCTTCTGCAAATGTAGAAAAATTCTTCAGGTTAAAAGCATCTATCGCTTCAAAGATGTGTAATTCAAAACATGCACTAATAAATGCTAATGTGTCTGTGCAATACATGTTATATTATGTATTTTTTGAGTATGTAACATTATTTTTGCTTTATTGACAATTAATAGTATATTTGCCAATTTTGGATAAAATCATAATAATTTACACGAAACTAGGCTTCAGAAAGATGAACATTGCAAAAAAATAACAATTTGCTGTAAGATACCTGGAACTGAAAGTTACAATATAGAACTCTGCTCATAAACTAGTGCCACTTAAAATAAAACAATAGCCATTACCTAAATTGACGATTAAAATCAAGCCTGTGCGAGTGTTTTAAGAGCGTGGTGGCCATTCCTTCGGCCATAATCTGGGCCAATTCTTCCGGCGGCACCGGAAACCCCGGCCCCAAGACATGAATATCTATTTCGCTTTCTTTTGGGGTTTAAAGAAGGCACTGCTCGGCCCCATTTTCGCTACAGGCCGCGATGATAAAAGACGGCCGAAAGAAAGCAGCATCTGAGAAACCGACAGAAGCGCGCGGAACAATATAATGTACGGGTACATGTTTGCACCTATGGTCATTCGTGTCTTCGCACCTTGGCATTGTTTGTCTTCCGAGCATTTTAGTTTGTGAATGTTGTCAGTTTTCAATTTGAGTTGTTTTTGGTTGTTTAATCATGAGTAGTCAGTTTGTTTTGTGTCTTTGCTTAGCTATGCTTAGTACTTTCTTCGTTTATTTTATATTCCAAATACTTTGCTTTGTGAGTTAATATGAAGCTATGTCAATATTAAACGCTTATCATAAAAACCAAATTTAAATCTCATTTAAATATTTAAAAGTTTGATAATGCGATTAGACAAGTCTATTCGAAGTCGAACTGAAACAATATTAATCCCGTCGTCTCATTACCATCTGCATTTACAAGCCTTTCATGATGAAACATTGGGAACGCATTCTTTCTGGACCTCCATTCATTAAAGCCCTCCGGCTGATTGGACTCACAACCTTATTCCCCGGGGCAATTAAACCCAAAAGAAGAGTGCACCGTTCAGATGCCGAGTACGGTAATCTTTTTTCCTTACTGCCAGCCGGCTAATTAGAATACCATCTTGCATTAAGAGCTTTTATGAGGGTATTATTCTTGTTTCGGGATTAGAGGGTTGCAATTGCATTGGTCGTTAAATAAGCAAGATGTTCAGGGAAGCTACTCTCTAGATGGTAAAAATAGTGCAGAGATACTATAGATATAAATATGTAGAAGGAGTGAGTCCTAGATAATAAGGAAGAGCTCATCTGATGAGTAGTGAATCTATATTAGGATACCCTGAATGTCGAAACAACTGACCTTCCATTGTCGGCCCAACTCGAGTAGGACATTACTTTGGCCGCATTAGGCCGATTAGTCCAATCGTTTTTTGAAGGCCTTGTTCTGGCGGCACGAAGACGCTTTCGAATCCGGAGGGCCATCTGCCTCGAAGAACCTCCACAAACACGCGGATTCCATTTCCATTGGCCTTTTTGCGCCTGTTTGTTCAGATGCGGCCATCTTGCGCAACTGATCCCCCCTCCATCTATTAGGTATTATATTTATTGCTTCGAAAACAGCTGCATTCTGTTCCCATCGTTCCGGGCGCCGTTCCCTTCCAGTCGAAAAACGTTCCTAATTAAGTTTTAAGTGGCCATATGGCAGTTAAACCAAATGTGTTACTTTCCATGATACATTAGCGTATAATCCTGATTCTGTAGTTTAGTTTTTTTATGTTTAAAACAAATTCAGATATTTTTTTGCTTTTCAGCCGTTTTTCTTTGAATTTCAAATAAGGAAAACATTTTTATGGGTAACAAGTCTTCTTTAACAGTAATTTTTAAAATTGTAACTTTTCTTTTAACTTTTTTTTATTTTTTTATTACCCAGCTTTTTATCACTATATCCTCATGACCCATCTGTTTCAAAAACCGCCATAACCTATTGCAACATGTAGTTTGCTTAATCTTTTGTCCTCAAACACACCTTATCCAACTTGTTTGAACAATGATCGGATTCCGATGGCATCTGAACAAACCTCCTCCCCAGACCTTTGGATTCGTTATAAATCTTGGGAATGCTTTGTCATGCCCGGAGGCAATTTATGAATACAGTCGTTGTTAATGCCCGATGTATCTACTGCATTTTCCGGCTTGATTTATTACGCTTTTTATTGGTGGGATTACGCGGAACGGCGGCACGTTTAAGCACGTTTCGTCTTCAAATAGTGGCACTTTGTGACGATTTTGGGCTTTGGGGAGTGTTTCGAGATGATTTGGCATGGAGAAAGGGGGTGTTTTTAGTATTGTCGGTTGAAGAATGAGTATTTTTAACTTTTAAGCTTGGGAAGAGTTATATTTTGTTTCATTTTGGCTTTGAAGTTGTAGTCTTGTTAACGATCTGGATTTGAAAGTGTTGTTTCTTCAATTTTTGTTATTAGAAAGCAGTATTTTATCAACATCATAGCTAAAAAATGAAATTTGTCAAAGTTTTTGAATAAAAGAACATTTTTTTGATATTAAAAACAGTATTTCTGGCACGATTAAGTAGTAGTACATTGAGATTTGAGTTGACTAATGTCTTCCCTCTGTTCCCGGCAGTTTTAACATTAAACGGTCGGTAATTTGGGACGAATGCATGACAAAATGTATCCTTTCTGACCCAAAACGGGACCAGAAAGATGGTTTGATTAATCGCCGACTCCCAAATTGGGTTTGGATCGATTCGGAAGACAAAAAAGGTCAAAGAATGGGCCCTGAGGGCAAGGACCATTACTCTCGAAAAAACAACTGAAGCCGTCTGCAAACTTTTTTCTGTTGCCAAATTTATGTCCATGGCGGGGTAGGGTACGACTTTTTATAGGGGGTTCACGAGAGATAGGGGTTCTTCAAAGAGGTTTCTTAGCTGGGGTAGGAACTCGGTCCGACTGATAGAGGGGGAGAGGGTAATAACCCCGTTACAGCCGTATACGCACTTTAATATCCTCGGGGACCGGGCGCGCTTGATTACAGGCCATAATTATGCTAATCCAATCAGGCCTGCGGCTCTTTGCTCCGATGGCAATCAAATTTTGTTTCCACATTGTCTTAACGCCGATGCACTTTAATTTGGCCGGAAAAACGGGTCATCATGACGTCTTACTGTGATTTCATGTCGCGGCCAAAGGCCCTTACTAGGTTGGCTTTCTTTAGAGATTTAGTTTGTATCATACTAGGATTACTATTTACACTCCTCAGTGTAATTTATATTACACTAGGATCACTATGTAACATTTTTAAAAATATTTTGGACAAAATGTAAAAGTGCATGCATATCGACCATTACACGACCAATTAGGCCGAACTTATGCATAATTCTGCCAAAACTTTATGGACACGACATTAAAATTAATTAAAATGTTTTATCGTTGTGTTTATGCATTCCTTTTCCATACATACACAACTCGGGCTTGGCAGATCTTATCACGCTCCCTCATCGTTCAGCCAGCCATCTGGCACTAAAAGTTTCTTTTCCCTTCGAAACCAAATTCATTTGCATATGTCTCAATCGCGCATGGATTGGCATTTATGCACTTTTAAATCTTTTACTTTTCAACTGTCAATTGTCGTATGTTGTGGGCGATGGATAGTATGAAGTTATTTTGTTAGTAGGGATGGTTTGTTAGTTATAAGGGGTGGTTCCATCTTCCTGTGTTTTTACTTCAATCATGCCTAACGTTTTACAGTACCTTTTTGTTGTTTAGTATCAGGTTAACTTTAGAAATGGCCAATGACACCTTTCGGTTCACTTGAACTTTGGGTCGGGTCAGGTTTTGCTTCAGGGCATTTGAACCAAAAAACAACTGTCTTTCGAGCTAAATTTAAATAGTTTGATTAAATTTAAAGTAAAGGCCAAGTCTACTATAGTAAAAGTATATAGTTAATTATTAGACAATGTATACTCTTACTATGGAGTACACATTGTCTGATGACTATCTTGGTAAGAGTATATATGAACAATTCTCTTACTATGGTAAAGCGTATACATTCTATACTTAAAGTAGTA